ATCCTCTAGTTACCGGGCTTGCGTTAGAGTAGTTCTGGTCACGAGCCAAAAGACTTCGCAGAGTACTCTGGGCGTCTTCCGGTAACACTCAATTCACACTGGTGTACACACACACACACACACACCAAGGCCTTATTCCAGGTATTATTCCCAAGTACCTCCAGGTACTATTCCCAAGTACCTCGATGCATCACTCGAGGTGGTAACAACCCCTCAACACTGGTGCATACCTATGCACCTCGCATATGCATACAGGGGGCGGCAAACAATTCCCCTACGCCGCTCAGCATCTGACCTTGCTGCACAGTCAATAAGTTCGGATGGCGTGAGCCCAACAGGGACAGACGGCCCCACGGACAGTCCTCCTCCGACACCCCAATAGAGATTTCAAAAGGTCTCTTACCTCTATTGTGGCGCCATGGGGTTCGAAGGGGAACGATCCGTAGCAGTTGCCGATGCTTCTGTGGGCGTTGCCATCCCGGACGAGCCCCCAAATTGTCGGAGAAAAACACAGTTCTCACTTTTTGTTTGGGTACAGCAAGTCAGATGCTTTATTTCTCTCACAATTGCGCAGAGGGAGAGAGCTAAGCAGGTCTCTCTACAGGTAAACAATTACAGCAAACCTTTATACCTTTCATTACAGACAATAACAAGCAACAGCTGCATTTTGTTTATACATAGGCCATCTTGATATCTTATTTTTCTCACTTGTTTTGACTCTAGCCTACATACAATATTTTCTACACATTATCTACACAAGGTCGCAATAATTTCTCACACAGTTCTTTCCCACTCGCCTCACACAACCCTCGCTTCTACAAATCTCGCGTTATTAGGGTTACAGTTAGCCTGACTCTTGCTAACGAACTGTCATGCACTGCAGTTCTTTCCTGTCAGTTCTTTCTCTGCTTCCACACCGGCCAATGGGAGCTGTGGGAAGCAACAGAGATTCCGCCACCTCCTGCCTGGCATCCCACAACAGAAGAAACAATACACACATTCCTTATAGATATTATGTATTGGGTCCATTTGAGCTATGCCCAGGTTGGATGGACAGACTCGGTATTCTGTCGGTGGCCTACCCTTTTGACTTCTCTCAGCCTAAGATTTTCGGTTCCAAGTGCTGACAGCAAGACCCTTGCAGTGAGAGCTGCAGTGTGCCTGAAGGCAGGCGTCTACCTTTCATTTGAATTTCAGAAGTTCAATTTCTTCCCTTTGAAGATCACTTTCCAGGAACATTTTATGCTGCTTGTCATGCTCAATTGCAGAGGCTTTATGATCCCTCCTAAAATATTCACAAAGGCTGCCTCAAGCAGAGCGAAAGCCTCACCCAGGAAAACAAGGGGAAGGAAGAGCCAGGTTTGCTTTTACTAGTGGGATGTTCATCTGAGGCAGGGGTTTCCCTCCTTTCAAACAAAATCTTTGAAATCCCTTTAGATGTGAAGAGCTGTTTTGCTGTCAGGCCAGATCCCTGAAGCTTTAATTGGGTTCTTCCAGCCTTGAGATCAATGCCTCTACAGGGCTCTGCAAGGCGGTTCTGGAGCAGTGCTGTGGTTATTGGACCCTGGTGGCCAAGCATTGGGAAGAGGAGGGTGTCCTGCTTGCCAAATCCAAAGACAAGGTTATTCAGGAAGCTGTGCTCTTCAGAGTTGCTATTAAACATATGTCATTGCGATGGGAATGGCGGGACAGCAGGTGTGTTGTGACCACTGCTTATCATCCTGATCACAGTCATCTCATTGTTCCCTTGTGCTCCCCTCATTTGTCTGCTGTATCCATCTGTTGTCCCTCATCTTATACATAAACTGTAAGCTCTTCAGGGCAGAGACTGGCTCTTGTCCATTGTTTGTGCCTCCCGCAATGGGATTGGCGCCTGTAGATGCTACTGTAATGCAGGTAAGTCTCTCTCAGTATATAAATTACACTATTTTAAAGCCCACTCTGTTCCTCAAGTTACCATACTTGGGCACTTACACCAGTTTTTTGATCATCTTATACCTGACATGTAACTTACGTTGCTTACATCACCTGCAGGCGGCAGGAAGGATTTTTTCCCCCCGGATGCACAATTGGCCAGTTGTTGTTTTTTCCTTCCTCTGAACTCACAGCTGGAGTTGGGACAGACTCATGCTCTCAGGTGTTACACAGAATCCTTTCTAGTTGACCAGATGGTGTTTCTTGCTTACGGGCTCAGGCTCAAACTGTTTGCCAGATGTGGGGTCAGGAAGGAATGTCTCCCTGGGTCAGATTGCCAGGGACTGTGGAGGGGTTTTCACCTTCCTCTGTAGCATGGTATGTGGACCTCTTGGGAATACTCACCTGATCAGTTCCCTGTCACTGCAGGAGCCTCAGGTGTTGGTGGCACTTTGATCTTTCCTGTTCTACCTGTGGCACGCTGTTTAGCCTCTTGAGGTCTGAAATGCTTTAGTCTAACTAAAATCTTTGGGCTTAATATAGGTGGGTGAAAATTAATGGCCTGTGACGTACAAAAGCTCAGACTGGATGGTCCCTTCTGGCCTAAAACTCTATGAAACTATCTCCTCTGAATTTGTCCCTGAAACGCACCCATCTAGCTCTGAAACTAGCCCATTAACTAATCCTTGCAACATCCTTGTGGGGTAAGTGCTATTATGCCCAGTTTACAGATGGAGAAACCCCATGGACTGAGTCAGCCTCAGCTCATTGGTCTAGAATTTCCAAAACACAGAGAAGTAGTTGAATAAAGCTAATAAAAAACCCATCAAGGTAATGTGCATGGTGCAGGCCAATAGAGCTTTGCTACAATTAAGTGGCATGAAATCCGCATTTCTCACATCACATTGAAGTCTGGGGGTCTCCAAGAATAATGACTCAATAATGAGGTGCTGAAAATCCTAATGTTGAGATGATGGAAGTTATATTTTTGCCGCTAATCATCCAATCATTTGTACAGTTAATTCAGTCGTGGTAAATGTCTACAAACTGAGTTCCCTATAATTCATCATTGCTACTATTTCATTTTAAGGCTCCATTGCTCTAAGAAACTATGATTTCATTACTCTATATTTGTTTTGGTAGTCAGCCTTTTCAGTGGTGTTACTGCAGTTAAGTCTTTAAATAATGTATTTTAATGAGATATTCATAGGTCCTAGAAGCCCTGCAGTAATATCAACTCAGACTAAGAACTTGTTGCATCTCACAAACTAAGCAGTTTCAGACTGAGCCCAGGTCTACACTTAAAAATTAACCTAGCTATGACGCTCAAGGCTGTCAAAAATTTCACACCCTGTGCTACATAGTTATGTCAGCCCAGCCCCCTATGTAGACACAGCTACTTAACAGAAAAATTCTTCCATTAACCTCACTAGTGCCTCTCAGGATGGTGGATTAAGCAATGGCAAAACCCCTTCCATCCATGTAGGAAGCATCTACACTACAGCGCTAACGCGGCAGTGCTGTAGCTGTGCTGCTGTAACGGCTGTAGTGTAGTCAGTAGTTGGATTTGAGACATCCAAAGAAAAGCCAAGTTGCTGAGGTGATAAGAGTAGCTGGTGCTCTTCTCTCTCAATCAGAACTGAACAAATGTGCCAGGATCACGATCTAGGGCCATGTGTTGGTGGAGGGGCTTTCTTCTGAATGAAATGTAAAACCAAAAGGCCCTAAACACTTGTCTTCACTGAAGAGCCCATGACATTTTCTCTGAGAGTAGGATATACAAATCCCAGTACCCTGGCTAGATTCCAGACTGGGTGACATATTGTCGCTATTATCATTGATTTGTATTACTGTGATACCTAGAGCCCGCAACTGAGATTAGGGCCTCATTGTGCTGGGCACTGTACACACACGTAGCAAGAGACAGTCCTGCCCTGAATACCTTAGTCTAAATCAGGGGTAGGCAACCTATGGCACGTGTGCCAAAGGCGGCACACGAGCTGATTTTCAGCGACCCTCACACTGCCCGGGTCCTGGCCACCGGTCCGGGGGGGCTCTGCATTTTAATTTAATTTTAAAAGAAGCTTCTTAAACGTTTTAAAAACCTTATTTACTTTACATACAACAATAGTCCACGAAAGCTTATGCTCTAATAAATGTGTTAGTCTCTAAGGTGCCACAAGTACTCCTGTTCGTTTTGCGGATACAGACTAACACGGCTGCTACTCTGAAACAATAGTTTAGTTATATATTATAGACTTATAGAAAGAGACCTTCTAAAAACGTTAAAATGTATGACTGGCACGCGAAACCTTAAATCAGAGTGAATAAATGAAGACTCGGCACCCCCCACTTCTGAAAGGTTGCCGACCCCGGTCTAAATAGCGCAGACAAAGGATGGGAATGGGGAGAAACTGAGGCACAGAGGGATTAAAATGACTTGCCCAAAATCATACAGCCAGATTGGCCGAGCCGGATATAAGACCCCAATCTCTTGACTCCCAGTCCACTGTCCCATCCAGCCTCTCTCCTGCTACCTGGACACAACAGACACAATAGTCACTTCCTGTCCTAAGCTGTCCTGCAGCAGTCCGGGGAGCGGTGCCACCGCTGACCCGTCTTCACCCGCGAGGGGCTGGGGCCACGACAGCGGTTGCCAGGCAGGAGCAGGTTGCCCATGGGGACGCCTGTCGGCGGGGCAGGCACCTGCCAGCTCGGGGGTGTCTCCCCGGTCCTGGGGTCTGGTCCTGCCTACAAGCATCCTCGCCCTGTGACGTCACGCACCGCCTGTTGTCATAGTAACCACTGCTGTCACAGGGGTACCCCTACTCGGTAGCGGAGCGGCCAGGGTGCCATGGAAACGCCGGGGGAGGGCGGCCGAGGGCGGGGCTGGGTCTCTGACAGGCGGGGGGGGGCGCACTATGGGCTATGGCCGGGAACCCAGCGGGGCCGCCACGACGCACCAACGGCCGTTGAGGAGGGGGCGTGAGTGACGCCGAGCGAAGGCGACGGCGCAGGGGGCACGAGGCGCGGGGTGATCACGTGACGGGGCGGGGCGGCCAGACTCGCGGCCGTTGGCGCACGCAGCCAGGGGTGAGGGCGGGGCGCATGCGCCCCCCCAACCGTCACTCTGCGCACCCCGCCCCCTGACGTCACCCGTGCGACGCGCTCCTCTGCCGGAAACCGCCGCCTGGGGCTCGCGGGGCCGGTGGCGCGTGCGGCGTTTCGCTCCGGCCGGGAACGGTGAGAGCGGCGGGGCGGGGCGGGGTAGGAGAGCGTCTCCCTCCCCCCGCGTGTCCCTCCCCCTCGGGTCCCGGCCCCTCAGCCTCGTGACCGGGACACAGCCCCCCTCTGCCCCGCCGGGCCTGCCCCCCTCCCCCGTGTGTGTCCCACCCCGCGCACCCTCC